ACTCCAATTGCAGCTGCTGTTCCAGCTGTAGTTTCATGTCTTGAGCAAATTAATACATCTCCTGGTACCTGGTATGCAGTTATTGATCGGACTAATGCCTTTTTCTCCATACCTGTTTTGAGGGACCATTAGAAGCAGTTTGCCTTCAGCTGGCAAGACCAGCAATACACCTTCAGTTGCTGTCATGGATTGAATTACATCCCCCCAAAAATGTGTGTATCAGTTTGGCTGGGCCATGACTCCTGGTACTGTGTGATTTTCCTATATGTTGTGAATCCTGCCTCTATGATGTTAATGAGGGAGGATGGGGGGCAGTTGTGTTAGTGAGGCAGGACTCAATTTACAAGATTGGATTGTGTCCTGAGGCAATCTCTTGAAATACAAAAGACAGAAGTGAGTAGTGAGACAGGGAGACCTCATACCATCAAGAAAGCAGTGCCAGGAGCAGCGTGCGTCCTTTGGACCGGGGTCCCTGCGCAGAGAAGCTCCTAGTCTTGGGGAACATTGACGAGAAGGCCGTCGGAGAGAGAAAGCCTTCCCCTGGAACTGATGCCCTAAATTTGGACCTTTAGCCTACTTTACTGTGAAGAAATAAATTTCTCTTTGTTAAAGCCATCCACTTGTGGTATTTCTGTTGTAGCAACACTAGATAACTAAGACAGTTGCCTACCTCAGGGACCTTGATCGCCTTTCCCTTCCACGAGACTTCACACTGGTCCATTACATTGTTGACTTTATGCTGATTGGATCTATTAAGGAGAAGTGTCAATGACTCTGGACTTCCTGGTAAAACATTTCCATGCTAGATGGTGGAAAATTAATCACAGAAAAATTCAGACGCCTTCCACCTCAGTGAAGTTTCTAGGGGTCCAGTGGTGTGAAGCATGTCGAGATATTCCTTTCAAAGTGAAGGATTATGTTATTGCATCTGGTTCCTCCCACAACTAAAATGAAGCACAATTCCTAGTGGGGCTCTTTGGATTTTGGAGGTAACATATTCCACATTAGGTGTGCTACTCCGGCCTATTTATCAAATAACTTGAAAAGCTGTTAGTTTTGAGTGGGCTCAGAGCAAGATAAGGCTCTGCAATAGGTTCAAGCTGCTGTGCAAGGTGCACTGCCACTTGGGCCATATGATCTGCCTGATCAGTGGTGCTTGAAGTGTCAGTGGCAGATAGTGCCATCCCTAGAGGTGATCAGCTAGCAATCTGGTGGCAACTTGATTACATTGCACCACCTCCATTATGGAAAGGGCAGCGTTTGGTTCTCTTACTGAAATAGACACTTACTGTGGATATGGATTTGCCTTCCCTGCATGCAATGCTTCTGCCAAAAATACCATCTGTGAACTTACAGAATGCCTTATCTGCCATCATGGTATCCCATACAGCATTGCCTCAGATATAGGGACTCACTTCACAGCAAATGAAGCATTGCAGTGGGCCCATGCTCATGGAACTCACTGGTCCTACCATGTTCCCCATTATCCTGAAGCAGCTGGCTTGATAGAACGATGGAACAGCGTTCTAAAGACACAGTTACAGCACCGGCTAGGTGGCAATACCTTGCAGGATTGGGGAATGTTCTCCAGGAGGCTGTGTATACTCTAAACCTGCATCCAGTCTATGGTGCTGCTTCTCCCGTAGCCAGGATCCATCGGTCCAAGAATCAAGGGGTAGAAATGAAAATGACACCACTCACTATTTTCGCTAGTGACCCACTTGCAAGATTTTTGCCTCCTGACCCCTGACTATGCTTTGCAGTTCTAGAGGTCTTAGTTCCAAAGGGAGGTATGCTCCCACCTGGAGACACATCACTGATTCCATTGAACTAGAAGCTAAGAATGCCACCTGGCTACTGTAGGCTCTTTATGCCTCTGGATCAACCGGCAAAGAAGGGAGTTACCATACTGGCCCCTGTGACTGATCCGGAGTACCAAGAGGAATTCTGATTGATATTACATAATGGAGGTAAAGAAGAGTATGTCTGGAACCCAGGAGATCCCTTAGGGCATCTCTTAATACTATCATTCCCTATGATTAAAGTCAATGGAAAACTACAGCAACCCAATTCCAGCATGACTACAAAGGGCCCAGACCCTTCAACAATGAAGGTTTGGGTCACCCTACCAGGCAAAGAACCACAACCAGCTAGGGTGCTTGCTGAGGGCAAAGAGAATACGGGATGGGTGGTGGAAGAAAGTAGTGCTAAATACCAGTTATGGCCATGTGACCAGTTGCAGAAATGAGGACTGTAACTGTTATGACTATTTCTGCTTTGTATGTGTGTATCAAATATTTTTGTATTTTTCACTTATAAAATATAAGATGTAATCAGGGCTAGTGCATTTTTGGTTGTATGTGTGTTCATTGTATCATGTTAGGCACAAGTGTGACTTTATAATTGTCTTTATTCACAGATTATGTATGGTTTGGGAAAATGTGTACAGGTGCCAAGTTGACAAGGAGTGGACTGTGATGGTTAAGAGTCTGTGTGCACTTGGCTGAACCATGATTCTCAGTGTTTTGGCAGTCATATAATATCGTGATCACTTCCCTGTTGAGGTTTGATATGTGATCAGCCCCATGGTGGGATCTGCTGTGAGTAGCCAATCAGTTGAAAGAGATTTTCCTTGGGCATGTGGCCTGCATCAAATATAAGTGGACATTCTGGCAAGGCTTGGGGGTTTTTCCTTGTGCTAGATCCTGCAGCTGGCTCCTGTTTGTCTGATCTCTGGTTCTTGGGACTTGAGCTAACAGCTTACTTGCGGTCTTGCCTGCCGATCTTGAGACTAATCGATCTTCAAAGCCTGTGAGCAAGAGCTCTGCTCTCTGACCTGTCAATCTCGGGTTTTCCAGCCCCTTTGGCTACATGAATCAGGAGAAGCCTCTATCCTGACCCAGAAACTTGGGACATTCCTGCCTCAAAAACGGCTTGAGCCATTTCCTTGATATAAATCTCTCTCTATATATATATATTTATATATGTTACTGGTTTTGTGTCTCTAGAGAACCCAGCCTAAGACACGAGGTGTCTTGTTGGTGTGGGATTGGGGCTGGTGAGACACTGAGGGAAGCTAAGGTGGAAAACCATTTTAGAAGGTGCTGGGAGCTGAGAGAAATCCTCCAGGACATAACAGTTGAGGAAAGGGTCAGTGCTATCACCGTGTTTTTAAAATGTGTATTGGCTTCATAGTTGAATAGTGAGAGGGAAATCTTCATATATTTTTTAAAGTAGAGAAAAGGAAAAGTATAGATAAACCCAAAGAAGAGAAAAAGCATCCACAATTGAATTACCCAGAGATACTCACCATTAACATTTTGACGTGTATTTTTCTAGTATTTTCTCCACGTTTCATTCAATCAGTCAATCAATCTCTCTGTCTATCTATCTATCTGTCTATTTAAAGGAGTCCCAGGGGTGCACAAACAGGTAGTGTGCTTGACTGCTAACTGAAAAGTTGGCAGTTCAAGTGAGTCTGCCCAGAGGTACCTCAGAAGAAAGGCCTGATGATCTACTTCTGAAAAATCAACCACTGAAAACCCTACAGAGGACAATTCTACTCTGACATGCATGGAATCTCCATGAGTCAGAGTTGACTTAATGGCAACTGGTACTGGTGTCTGTCAAAAAGCTTTCCTTAACATATCAATATAATATAAGTATTTCCCTTAGCATTAAATATTCTTCCCTAATATTATTCTTAAGGAGCCCTGGTGAAGCAGTGGCTAAGCACTTTGCTGTTAACCAAAGATCGGTGGTTCGAACCCACCAGCCTCTCTGTGAGAGAAAGATGTGGTAATCTTCTTTGCTAAAGATCACAGCTTTGGAAACCCTATGGGGCAATTCTACCCTGTTCTATAGGTCACTGTCTTAGTCATCTAGTGCGGCTGTAACAAAAATACCACAAGTGGATAGCTTTTAACAAGGAGAAATTTATTCTCTCACAGTCTAGTAGGCTACAAGTCCAAACTCAAGATGTCAGCTCCAGGGGAAGGCTTTCTCTCTCTGTCGGCTCTGGAGGAAGGTCCTTGTGATGCATCATTCTTCCCTTAGTCTGGGAGAATCTCAGTGCAGGAACCTCAGGGCCAAAGAACGCGGTCTGCTTCTGGCACTGCTTTCTTGGTGGTATGAGGTTCCCAGGTCTCTTTGCTCACTACTCTCTTTTATACCTCAAAAGAGATTGGCTTAAGACATTATCTAATCTTGTAGACCTCATCAAGATAACTGCTGCTAATCCATCTTATTACATCATAGTGATAGCATTTACAACACATAGGGAAATCACATCAGATGAGAAAATGGTAGACAATCGTACAATACAGCCAAATTGATACAAATATTTTTTGAGGGACATAATTCAATCCATGACAGTTGCTATGAGTCGGAATTGACTTGACGGCACACAACAACAAGAACAACAACAACAGCAACAGCATTAAATATTCTTCCATAATATTTATGTTTATATAGTCTTTCATGGAAATAATGCAAATTAATTTATTTAACCAATGTCATAATATTCGACACTTGGGTTATTTCCAAAGTTTTACCGTTACAAACACTGCAACATAAACATCCTTATTCACCTTTGTATGCCTCCTTGATCATTTAACTTAAGATAAATTTTGAGTAATGGAAACGCTAACTAAGAAATGTGTCTTTAAAGTTTTGTTGGGAATTGCCAAGCTATCCTTCAGAGTACTTTTGGTTGTTGATAACCAAGGTGTGCCATACACTTCCTATTCTGATTTCACGCTGTGCTCCTGGTCCACCTCACTAAGGTTCTCTTGGGGAAGCCAGTCTGGGTAACAGCCCAGGACAGACAAGGAGCTATTATGTCCACTGAGTCATCTTACATGCTCCTGAATCTCCTTGAGTTGCCTCCAGAGCAATGGGCCAGGGCAGCACTTTGGATGGAGGTAGCTCTGGAAGAACAGATGTGTCATTGGCTCCCTCCCCATGACCGTAAATTCTCCTCCTCTCCACTCACCTCACAGGTTTTATCTCCTCTGGCCAAGAACCTCTTCCACCGGGCCATTTCTGAGAGTGGCGTGGCCCTTACTGATCCTCTGTTCAAGAATGAAAGCAGGTCTGCAGCCGAGGTAGGTCTCACTTTGGATAGCTGCCTAAACCAGGGCCAAAGGACGCGCTCTGCTTCCGGCACTGCTTTCTAGGTGGTATGAGGTTCCCATGTCTCTGCTTCATTGGAATCTCAGGGTGTCTTTCTTGCCAAAGATCCAACTGACATCGTCAAAAAATTATGGAAGTGAGAATGGCTAAGCAGGACAGACAATGAGACACCTCGCTCAAGGTCTTAGTTTGCTAGTGCTGCCTTAACAAAAAATGCCACAAGTGAGTGGCTTTAAAGAACAGGGATTTATTTTCTCACAGTTTTGGAGAGTAGGAGTCCAAATTCAGGGCATCAGCAGGACTAGGTGCGCTCTATCTGCTCTAAGGGAAGATCCTTGTCTCTGTTTGTTTAAGTAGTTGTTGGCAATCCATGGCATTCCTGGGCTTGGAGATGCATCTGTCTCCATTGTTGCTCTCTCTCTGTCCTCTACTTCTCCCTGTGCCTTTTAACTTATTCAACAAATCCATGTTAATAGTTGACTATGTACCAGGCACTGTATTAGGCTCTGGGGAGCCAGTGCTAACCATGGCAAGCCAGTGCTAAACATGGCCCCACCATCATGGAGTCTGCCTTCTATCCATCTGCTTCTTCTCCTCTGGTTACATTTTCCTTCCTGTTCACATGACCACCCCGCCTGCTCCTGAGTTTAAGAACTCCCTTTTGATTCCAGAAGGTAGTAAGACTTTCTCCTATTTTAGAGATTTTAGCACTTTCCTGTTAGAAGTGCTCAGCCCCAATTCCAGATCATTTAGGAAAAAAGTTCTCTGTCACAGCTTTGCTTGGATGCCTACCCTTGGTCCCATTCAATGTAGTTAGGAGGGTGGGCAACTTATATGAACGTGGCTTTCTGGAGCCACTATGGGAACCCTGTGGCCCATAAGAAGGATCCATTCCCAGAAAAGTTGAGGGAAAGGTGTGCTGGACAGACCCATCCATCTCTAAGACAGGCTGAGGTGAGCCTTTCCTTTAGCAGGGTCTTCGTTTTACTATTCTTATTTTTGAAGAGGGAAAGAGGTTCTGGGCTTGTGTCAGTAAATCTCCAAGCATTAATCTGGGCCCCTCAGTGGCTTGTCTTAGAATCTCACCCATTATTTATTTTTTATGACCCATGAGCTAAGATGATTTTTATATTTTTAAATAATTGAAAAAAATAAAAAGGAGAACAATATTTCACAACCTGTGAAAATTATATGAAATGCAAATTTCAGTGTCCATAAATAAAGTTTTATTGGAACACAGCCACACTCATTCATTTACATATTATCTTGTTCAACTTTGAAGCAAGATCTGCTATGCATTGTGATGGATGCCAGGCTGTTTTCCTTCAGGCCTTACATTTAAATGATATGCTGTACTTTCTGGAGTGCCTTTGTGTGAGTCATATTATCTGGATTTCCCGCAATTCTGCACATCTTTTGGTGTGTGTTGGTGCCCTTCTAAGCCCTTTCATGTATTAACTCATCTTACATGATAGGCCAGTCATTATCCCCGTGTATAGGTGGAGAAGCTGAGGAGCCTTAGTGGCACAATGATAAAGTGCTTAACTGCTAACCTAAAGGTCAGCTCTTTGAACCCACCAGCTGCTCTGTTGACAGAGACCTGGCAACTTGTTCCCATAAAGATCATAGCCTATGAAACCCTATGGGGCAGTTCTACTCTGTCAAGTAAGGTGTAATCAGCTCTATGGCACACAACCACACCAACACCATGACTGGAGAAACTGAGAAACAGAGAAGTTGAGTGACTTACCCAAGGTCAAATGGATAGTAAGTGGAGGAGCTGAGATTTGAATTCAGACAATGTTATTGAGAGTCAATGCTCTTAACTACCACTGCACACTGCGTCTCTTTAGACATTCAGCTTTGAGATCATTATGCCCTTTTTAACAGAGATAAAGTAACAGAGGAGTCCTTGTGTGGTGAAAATGGTTAGGCACTCAGAAGAAAGGCCTAGCAAACTACTTCTGAGAGATCACAGCCATTGAAAACCCTGTGGAGCACAGTTCTACTCTGAAACACATGGGGTTGCCATGAGTTGTAATTGTCTTGATGACAACTGGTTCTGGTTAAGGTAACAGAGAGAGGATGTGTAATTGGCTCAAATCACAATTGATACTAAATAATAGAGGCAAGACTAGGACCCAGGACCCACGCCTGCTGGTCTATTTTCTACTATCCTATGCTGCCTTCAGAAATAAGGTGGGGGTAGAACACTCTGTTACACTGATTTAGGGAAGGGACATCACTCTTGAATTCTGCTGTAACCTGTGATCTCTATAGAAAATTGCTATCTTGGCTGGGTGTAAAACCACCACCTCTGCTGTCATGGTTCACTGCCTGCGCCAGAAGACAGAAGAGGAACTCTTGGAGACGTCGCTGAAGATGGTAGGTGCTTTCATTCTTGTAGCCACATAAGTCCCATCCTGTAAACCTGGCCCCAGGCTTCATCATTTCACTTGCCCCCTTTACCTGAAAAATCTACCTGGATAGTTTCTTTTCTCTCAGGAGCACTGTTAACCTCTGTATCTCTGTAAGCAATTTCTTCTTTCCTTTTTTTATTGTGAAATATTTCAAATGTCAGAAAAGTAAAAATAATAATAACGTAATGAACAATTCTGTGATAATCCCCCAGTTCTATCAAAGCTTATTATTTTGCTACTCTTGATTTCAGATATATTTTAAAGAAATTAAACATTAAAGATTTAACTGAAAATCCCTGGGTATCCTATTCTGGTTTCATTCTCTCAGTTCCTTCCCAGAGGTAAACACCATCCTGAATTTTGAGGATGAGAGTATTAAGAACAAAGATAGTCACAATTTATCTTGGCTAATTTAGAAACTACCTAAATTATAACGCAGTAGTAGCCCAATTTTCTAGATTTCCTGAGACCCTGTCTCAACTGTGATTCGAGGATAGTCGTCCATCCACCCATCCATCTATCCATTCATCATCTTGTTATCCACCTATTCAATCAGCAATTCATCCAATCAGTCAATATTCTTTCATCAATCTGATGTCAGTCAATCTACTAACCCATCAATAACCTTACATCCATCTAGTATTAACCAAACCAGCACCTATTCATCATCCAGCCACCATGTATCTTCACTATCAAAACCAATGATTCATCTGTCATCTGTCTGCTTGTTACCATCGATCTACCCAGTTATTTATTAAATTCATCCATACTGCATGTATTGATGAACTCCTTCCATCCATCCATCCATCTATCCATGCTAACCATATGGAGGTGTCAGAGGAGATGATGTAGACATGAATATGGGTGTGTTTCCTTGCTGTCAAGGAACTATCCAAGGAAAAACACACCCATCATCCATCAGTGTGGAGGGAGTACAGAGGGGGAAAGCATTGATTTTAACCTGCAGAGATGCTTCACAGAGAAGGTGACATTTGAGGATTCAAGGATGGCTCTGATGTCTATCATCAAAGAGAAGCTACAGCCAGGCTAACGCCTCAGAGAATACAGGACCTAGAGCCAAGCTATTCCGTTTGTGAGGGAAGGGTGTGAATGTGAGCTCGGAAGTAGCCTGAGCCCTTGGACTTTCTGTCTTGACCCTAACCTCCTGAGGATACTCCTGGTTTTCCAGGGGCAGGCATAGAGCCCTGGACTCTTTCTGTGTCCCCATGGGTTGAGCCCAGTGTGGTTTTTGGGTTTGGATCCTGGTGTCTCAGCCCCAAATAAGATGACCAAAGTGTTCAAAGAATTAACACAGAAGTAATTTCTGATGCCTGGGAAGAGGCAAAATTTTAGCAATTCTCCATGAGGCACAAGAGGACTCAGCTTATAAGGGGAGATTTGGTGACTTTGGGAAAACCCAGAGAACCTAAGAACCCTAAAATCTCCTTCTGGGATTTTCTGAGATCACTTGGACGTGCTTTCCATGATTATTCACTATCCCCATTATACATACAGACACACACACAAATACCCACACCTGCCTGTTGGAGCTACAACTCAGAATACAAAGACCCTTACTGGTCACTTCCTGTGTGCTAGTCAGGCATATTGGCTACAGTGTAATGTAACAATCGGTGCAATTTTGGTGAACACGCACCAAAGAGATCCATGGGGTAGGGTGAGTTTCCATGAGCACGTAAGTGTCAGGACTTTCTAGTGCAAGATAAGAAAACTCATCTCAAAGTATCTCGAGCAAAAAAAAGGAATGTGTTGTAATAGAATAGAATCTTCAGGTAACTGAAAAGTCCAGCAGTAGGAAGCTTCAGGTACAGGTGGATCCAGGTGCACATATGATATTATTGGGCATCTATCTGTCTCTGGTGGTGCAGTGGTTAAGAGTTTGACTGCTAACCAAAAAGAATCCACCAGCCCCTTCTTGGAAACCTTATGGGGCAATTCTACTGTGTCCTGTAGGGTCACTGTGAGTAGAATCGACTCGATGGCAAGGGGTTTGGTTTGTTTTCTTTTTATCTGTCTTCTATCTCTCAGCTTCCTACCCTCAGTGTTGCCTTCACTCTCAGGCAGATTTGTCCCCTGGGGGATTAAAGACAACAACAGCACTCTAGACTTACATTTTATCTGTTTAGAAACCCCAGTGGAAAGAGATGTCTCTTTCCCAATAATTCCAGCAGAAGTTTTGGGGTAAACTGTTGAGCTGACATGAGCAAGTACCATTCCTGAACTAATCACTGCGGTCAGGGAGACAGAACACCCCAGGTGGCATATACATTTCTGGACCAACGAGGTGAGAGTGGGGAAGAGGAAAGCCCCCCAAAGGAAAATGGCGGTGCTGTCTCTAGGAGAAGGGGAGATAGATTGAGGGTAGGGCAGGCACAAACAAGAGATGTCCTCTCCAGAGCTCCAGTGACTCTGGATCAGGGTCCCCAGGCCTTGTCCTTGCCTTGTTCCTGCCTTCCCCTCCCCCTGGCCTACACCAGGGGAGCCAGGGTCCTGCCCACTTCCTCTTGGCCCAGCCAGGGTGGCACCTGGAGGGACAGCCTGTTACCTCCAGTGCTCAGCTAACAAACGATCAGCTTCTCTCCCAGGAAGCTTTCTCATTCACAGCCTCTGCTTTTGTCTTCACAGAAATTCTTCACTCTTGATTTTCTTGGAGACCCCAGAGAGGTAAGGGCCTTCAGTTTCTTTGTTATATGTTTCAAGCCTTGACACTTTTAAGCTCCATTTAAATGTGGATGAAACAATCCTCTTTTTTGTGGAATCAGAGTACTCCTTGTGTTTATATTACCAAGGCCCAGAGAGGGGCAGTGACTGTCCTGGGTAACACAGCCTGAAGGACCAGAGGCAGGATTGGAGCCCATTTCCCAGACTCCCAGTTCAATGCTCCCAGTTATCAGTTCTGTCCCCTAAGGGCCCAGTCTAACCCTCTCTTGTTTACTTTTCCTCCTCCTCTAAATGCACCTCTGGGTTGAGGCTGGGCTAGACTCTTCCTCTATGGGGAAGCAGAGATGTTACCTGGATAAGGGGCTTCTTCAAGAGTCTTCACTGAGGAGCCCAAATGTTCTCCTGAGAGGCCAGGGTTGGTTGACTGTGCCAGCTGCACTCTTTATAGTGCCTTACGGTGGGAGCCAAGAATCTCAGTCCTGGATGCCCCCTCTTCCCAGCCACACGGGCTAGAAACTTCAGCAGCATCCTCCCCATCTCCTTCTTCTTCAACTCCCACCTTCCAACAGGTTAGCAGGTTCTGGTGACACTGCCTGTCTAACATCTGACAATCCTGTTTTCTCTGCTCCCTCCCTGGGGAGTGATGTTGTGAGGATTAAAAGGGATTCATTCAGTCTCTCAGTGATTATTTAATAAGCACTTACTATGTGCCGGGACCTGTTTTAGAAACTGGGAGTATAGCAGCAAAAGAGTCCAAAAGAGACCAAATTCCCTGCTCTTTTACGACCTAGCATTCTAGTTGGGGGGATTACAGTGAACAAAGTATGTAGTGCATTAGATGTTAGTTAGTGTGATGGAGAAAAATAAAGCAGGAAATCGGGGATAGAGCTTGCCGGGGGTGGTGTCTGTGATTTGAATTTTAAGCAGAAGGGTCAAGGAAAGGCTCAATGAGAAGGTGTTATCTGAGCTAAATTCTGGAGGAAGCCAGCTCTCTGGAAAACTGGAGGAAGAGTGTTCCAGGCACAGGGAATAGCTTCTGCAAAGGTCCTGAGGCAGGAGGCCAATGTGGCTGGAGTGGATCAAGTGAGGGGAGAAAATAGGCTTGAGGCTAAAGAGATAATGGGAGATGGGAGCCTGGTCATTAAAAGGATTTAGATTTTGATTCAACTGAAGATGGGAAGACTTTGGAGGATTTTGAACAAAGGAGTGACATAACCTTAGATTTTACAAAGCGTCTTTTTTGTTGCTATGTTGAAAATAAACTGTAGGAAAGGGGCAAGGGCATGGAGCTCAGTGGGAGGCCGCTGCATTGCAGTAGGTAATCCGGGCAAGGCAAAATGTCATCTTGACCTGGGGCAGTAGCAGTGGGAGGTGGGGGGTGGGGGTGGGAACTGGTTGCAGTCTGGATATTTTTGAAGGAATGGCTGACAGGATACGCTGACAGACAGATGTAGGTGTGAGAAAAAGAGAGGAGTGAAGGGTCTCCTGCGTATGTTTTACTGGAGCAAGGCAATGCAGGTAGCCCGCACAGCGCAACCACGTGCACCCACTCTAGACAGTGGCTATTATCGACATCTTCACTGCTGCTGAAGTTGGTCAGCTCCCCTCCCACCCCGCCCCGCCCCCCTGCTCTGGCCTCACTACTCTGCTCTCTTACAGAGCTATCCCTTCCTGCCCAGTGTGGTTGATGGAGTGGTGTTGCCCAAGACACCTGAAGAGATTATGGCTGAAAAGAAATTCAACGCAGTCCCCTACATCGTCGGAATCAACAAGCAAGAATTTGGCTGGGTTCTTCCAACAGTGAGAATGTGGAGGCCTCTTAGACTCTCCTCCCACCACCCCTCCCATCTCTAGTTTTGAGTTCTTCATTCTCCAAGCCCTTCTTAGAGTCGAGGGCAGTAATTCCCTTCAGCATGAATTGACATTTTCATGGAAGCCTTCTCTGAGATGGCCAAATGGGTGGTGCTGCGCATGGGAACCCATCTCCCCAAATACTATCTGTGTCTTTCCAATCAAAGAACCCTGAAGTGTTGATGCTGGGAGGGCCTGTAAAGATAATTATGATGCAGGTGGGCAAACCAAGGCCTAGAATGGGGAAGGAGCTCGAGAGTTAAGAAGAGCTAAACCTGGGGCCCAGAGTCTCCCACCTTGGGCTTGGTGCTTTCGTATTTTCTCCATAAGTCTCTGCACATGCTCTTAGTAATCTAATTGGAAACGTTTATAAAAACATGCTTTCTTGTGAGTTAAAATTGACTTCCAAAGTGAAGAAGGACCTTCCCTGCAGAGGGATTTCAGAGGTTATCCCAAGGACCAAAGCCCTAAAGGCTGTAGTCTGGGCTTCCTTAGCCATCTGAGGCAGGTCTGTGTCGTCTGCCCCACAGCCCTCTATTTTAACATTATCTAGCTTCAGCCTTCCCTCTCTGACTCACTGACTGTTGTGGGGATTCTAGTCTGATAATGTCACACTGGGCTGCAAAGGATTGGGATGACTTCTACTAAACATTTTTTATTTTATTTGCACTCCTTGAATTTCTGAATATAAGTCCATTTGATTCATTGATTTTGTCCAATTCATCAAAGCCCATGCCCAGAAAAGCATGGCAAAGAATGAGGCTCTTCAGTCTGGGTTGGTTTTGTTGGTTGATTCTTCCTATTAATTCTCGATGATTCACAGGTGCATAATCATTTTTTTAACAGCTAATGGGCTACCCACTCTCAGAAGGTAAACTGGACCAGAAGACCGCCAAGTCGCTGTTGTGGAAGTCCTACCCCCTTGTTGTAAGAGTCCAGTGAATCATGGGAATTGGCTGAGATCCAAAAGGGGGAAGGGACTTGTCTAAAACCATACAGCAATTAAAAGACAGAACAAAGACTAGGACCTGAGGTTCTGTCCCCATTTTCCTGCCTTTCCCAGCTTGCCACCTTGGGGGAGAGCTGCAAAGGGCTCAGTTGGTGCACTATAAATGCAAGCTTTCTTCACTGGGTGGAGAAGCACATCAGCTCACCTGGGGATGGTCAGTGGGTGGTCACTTTTCACTCTTGATCCATTCAGGCCATCCCTGAAGAACTGACTCCGGTGATCACTGAGAAGTATTTAGGTGGGACAGATGACCCTGTCAAAAAGAAAGATCTCTTCCTGGAAATGCTTGGAGATGCACTATTTAATGTCCCATCTGTGATTGTGGCATGTCATCACAGGGGTGAGTCCCAGAGGCTGGACAGGAGAAGGAACACTGACCCCCTCCAGATTCTTTGTCTGTCCTTCCCAACCCCCGACCCCCAGCATAGATAGATATGTTGAAACTGCCGAGAGTCTAATCTCAAAGGCTGATTCCATTTGACCTGGAGTAGGGTGCTGTCCTGTTTTGTTTTCTGCCAAAAGCCGACTCTGAGAAAAGGATCTGAGTACAAGTAGTTTATTTAGAAGGTGATCCTAGAAAACACCGGTAGGAATGCGACACAGGAAATGGAAGGAAGCCAATCAATGATGCATTGTTCAGCAGGTATCCACTGTGGACAACTGGAGCTGGGAACCCTGGGAAACAAAGAGAGGACATGTCTCAGGGTCATCCCCTCTGAGCAGCAAGGGAGCTTGGGTACTTATCACCAACTCCCAGTAGTCATTGGTTGAAGGCTGTTCCTAATAGGTTATTAATTTCCTGGCACTTTGACCTGTTGCACGCGTGGACAGAGTAGTCTCCAGTGGCCATACAAAGCCATCAGGCAAATAGCTATGGATGATGGAAGTAGAAGTCAGGCTAGCATGTCGAGAAATAGAGGATATGGCTGGGGTACTGACAGCATCTGCTCCAGGTGAGCTTTACCGGAAGTCATGATGATATGGGAGCTGGAGAACAAATATTGGAAGATGTGCCTTGGTCAGAGCTAGCTGCAAACTACTTCGTTAACTGGTGGAGCTGGAGGAAGAGTGGGTGCAAAGCATAGGGTCAGGAAGGTTGTCAGGGACCAAGAAAACCAAAAATCAATGAGCGGTATGGGTTGTGGAAGGAGGCAGTCTGTAGGATGTCAATATTAGTGACAGGGTTTTGTTCATCCCAGTGTGTGCCCATGACAAGCTGAGGGCCAGTGCAAGGTCTTTTATGTGAACTTTCAACCTCACCTTCCCTAAGGCTGAGTAGGTGGAATGTGAGGTTAACAATGGAGGAGCTCACCTGCATAGTATATGTCTCCTTCTGGAAGCCATTTTGTAGTCCTTGCTGGACTCTCCCTTTTCCACAAGCTGATTAACTCATTCACCTTATCTGCAAGCTGACAAATGGTTCCCTGGTCCAGTTCTCTCTCTCTCTATCCCTGCTGGAAGGGTTTTAAAATTCAGGACTTTATAAGCATGATTAAAACTACCTACAGCATGAAATAGATTACCTAAAGCTGAACTAATATGTGTCCAAGCACACCTCAGAGCAATGATATAGAGGTGCTAATTACCTACTACTTCTTCTTCAGTAGAGTCCTGATGAAAACCTTTAGCTGGGGGCTACCTGGGGTCAAGTCTATCTTTTTCTTAAGTTTGATTTTGCCTCCTGCTACATGTCTGACCTGTGGTGTCCTCTTTTTCATCATCTGCTGGTTCCATCCATCCCAGGATATTAGATGACATTGAGTTTAGGGGCTTTTTATTATTTAGTTCCTATATTTATCTCACTCTCCTTTTAATTATAGTCCTTCAAATAAAAAGAACTTTTCTTAATATAAAATTAATTTGTTACAGTTGTAAAAAGTTTTGAAAATTCAGGAACACGTATAGAAGAAACTAGGTATCACTCATAGTTCTTCTGCCTAGAGTATTTATTGTAAATTTTTTTTATTTTCTCAAATATTTTTTCATGTCTTACATATAGTTAAAAGATCAATGTTATGATTTTTGTTTCTGTAATATTATATTATTGGCATTTCCCCAATGTCATTGAAAATCCATCAAAAAGCATGTATTTCACCCATTCCTGTAAAAACTCTCAATAAAATAGGTATAGAAGGGAAATTTCTCAACATAATAAAGGGCATCTATGCAAAACCAATGGCCAACATCATTCT